CCAAAGAAGTTTGCCTTGGTCTGCCTGTGGAAACCTGCTCCCCTTGGGGGTTCCCTCAGGCATACCTTTAGCCTGCCCCTTATTGTGGGACAAAAGGCTTGTTCCTGGGCTAAATGTTTTTCTGGGGGATCCTTTAGAAAGTTGGAGAGAGGGGCTGGAGTGCTCTGAACATCAGTCCCGTCAAGTGTGATACAGCACTGCTTTTCAAAGTATGACACTCAGGGATCTTGTTGACAGGGTCTGGGGGTGGAGCCTGAGACTCTGCATTTCTAATACACTCCTAAGTGTTGCACCGCTGCTAGTCCAGGGGTCACTCAGAGGAGCAAGACTGTAGCCTGTCCTTCAGCAGCAGGCCTAAAGGCTTTTGGGATGCTTGTATAAAATGCGGTTTCTTGGCTACACCCCTCCCCAACACCGTGATTTGATTCACTGGATCTGGGGTGGTACCCAGAAGTCAGATAGAAAAATCTTCTGGCTGGGGAGGGAAAGGAGGGACTTTGAGAAAGGTGAATGCAGCTTTCAAACAACTGCTAGGTCCCTATAACCCACTGAGACTGGAAGACACTAAGTAACCCAGAGATCCCACAGCCTCCAAGCAGGGAGTGGCGGTTCCCCAAACTCTTTCGGCCAGAAGCCATTCACTTTCTGCCTCACTGCACTGCCCCATTATAATGTGTGTATGATCCAAATGATTAAGTACTGCCTATGCCTCCAGTAAGCAAAAGTCTAAACTTTGTGCATAACAGAACAGTTTCACCTTTTGGATTACTGGCATCTCTATTACTCTTTAGTTCAGATAAAACTTACATTTTCCTACTCGTTCATTCAACAAATATTTGTTAAGCTCTACATGTCTGAGCACACAATATTTAAACTATTTCCTGGTAATAGAATTCAGCCACTGATATGATTTCTAATTCAACTTAGACTAGAGCTACCAACCCCATAGCAACGTACACTAGAGCCTGAACATCACACTCTGGACTCAGAGCCAGCACATCTTTAAAGATTTATAGTACCTCCCGAAGTAGAGTGTCACCCTATTTCTCACATTGGTTCTTAGAATCTTCCATTCAGTTCACAAACATTTATTGAACACCTGCTCTACGCCAGGTGTTCTAGATGCTGTACATACCACAGAGACCAAGACAGCCAGGGATCCCTGTCCTCAAGCAGCATGCATTCTGGAGGGGAAAACCATCCAGTGAATAAGTGAGGTGCGCATGGCACATCAGACAGTGAGAAGTGCAGGGAGGTAAAGCAGGAAAGGACAGAGGGCGTTCCAGGAGGTGGGGAGCTATCAGTAGAGCTGCTCTGTGAGGGCCCCGTTGAGGGCAGCAGCTGAAGGGAGCCGGGGAGTGGGCATGTGGACTGGGGTGGGAAGGTGGGTGCTGGAAGTGCTCTGGGAGCAGCAGTGGGCCAGAGGGCTGAAGCTGAGGCACGGCTTGGACTGCATGTGCGGCCTGAGGGAGAACCGGCTCGCGGGTATGAGTGCCTGTCATGGTGCTCCGGAGGGTTTTGAGCAGAGACAGAAGTGATCCGCCCTGGGGGCTAGGGAGGGTGGACAAGGGTGAACACAGGGAAGGCAGCAGGAAGGCTAATTACTGCAGAGGGTCAGTGAGACACACGCGGCTGGAAACTAGACAGTGAATGCACTGAGAAGTGGTCAGAGTGCTGACACATTTTGAAGGCAAAGCCAGCAGGATTGGTTGATGGGCTGGTTAAGGAACAGGGGAGAGGATGAGTGCCTGGAAGCATGCCGTTGCCAGTAGTAACCACCCCACATATACCCAGCCAGCACAGTGCTGGGTCACATGGAGAAGGTGAAGTGGGTTTTCTGAGGCCCAGGCTTGTCTCTTCTGTGTCCTTTCCTTCCCTCCTTTCTGTACTTTTTGTCCCCTCCAACCTCAGGCTGGAGTTGAGAGAGCACAGCTTAGGTATATGTCAGTTTAAATCTGCTGTGTCAGTTTTACCAGCTCTGTGATCTTGGGCTAATTCCTGAACCTCTCTGAGCTTTATGGGTTTCCAGAGCCAGCTCACTGAACTCCATCAAATGAGCTAACATATATAAAATACCTGATGTATTCCTGCACTCAAGAAGCAGGCCCTCTTTTCATCTCCCTTCTATTGAGAGCTGATGAAATCATTCAGGGGCAGTATAATGACTAATTCTGTTGAGGTGTTATAATTTTGGGCTATATTTATATTTTAATGAGACAAGGAGCTTTAAGCCAAAGAAGTGAATCATTATTAGCGGAATTGCAGGCCATTGCTGAACAAGTTAAAGGGGATTTTTTTTTTGAAGGGGGCACCAGTTGATTTTGTTTTGGAAAGAGAGTTTCAAAGAGTGAAAGCCTCCTGTCACCCTTGAAATGACCTTCAACATTCATCACATAAATATTGACTGAGTTACTCCTTTAGACCAGGCCTTGAAGATACAGCAGAAAACAGACATCTGTGGTCCTGCATTCAGGGGCTTACATTCTAGCAGGGTGGACATGCACTGAACACATCACAATAAGATGACATGCATGCTGGAGAGGGAAGTTAGAGGAGTTGTGGGAAATGTCGGGGGCAGTGGGGGCTATTATAAAGCAAGGACTGATTCTCAGCCCTGGTTTTTCTCAAGCTGATTGATTTTAAAATCCTGATGATGCTTACATCTCATCCCCAGAGATTCTGGGGTATGTTCTGGGCATCAGGATTTTTTAAAACTCCTCCCAAATGATTCTGAGGACAGCCAGAGTGGGAATTAGTAGGAATCAACTAGATCCAGATGGGGAGTTGAGCTGGGGGCGATGAAGCTGAGCCATCCCCTTCACCTTGGGAGGGGGGTGAAGACCCAAAGTTTAGAGGAAGTGTGTGGCCCCTTCCAGAATGGAGGCTGTTCTGTGTACCTGCGGCCAGGTTGGGAAATGGGGGAACTGGGAGTGAGAGGAGATGCAGGGGCAGATGGGTCCTTGAGGGCCATATGAGAATGTGTACAACATTTTGTATGTGTGTGTACACACACACATGCCAGGGGAAGGCACTGAAGGGAGGAGGGGGATTTGGGGGCATCACTTGGGCTTTGAGTGGAGAGCGGTTGGCAGGAAGATAAGAGTCCAGGGAACCACTGGGGGCTGTTTAGTGTCATATTTGAGAATTGACAGTGGCCAGGACTAGGGGTGCAGAGTGGGGATAAGAAACGGACAGATTTGCGAGGTATCTGAGGGTCAGTCCACTCTGCTCAGTGATGGATTGGATAAGGGTGGGAGCATGAAGGACCGCATGAACCCTTCCTCCCTGGGCCGACTACTCTCTTTCAAGTCAAGCTACCTGGTGAGGGATGGAGATGTGGGCTTTACTCCAAGAGGATTAAAAAATGCATATAAGGAGTCTGGCCAAGAGGAAGAGAGGAAAGTACTGTGGCTGGTGTGTGGAGACTGGTGCCTGCAGCTGAAGTAGGAAACAATGGAAGAGAAACAAGAGGCAGGGTGAGAGGCTCAGTTGGGGACCTGAAGGGTTTTGGAGTCTACAAGATGCCCAGGAGGGCAGGGCGGATAGGAACACTGGATTCTGGTTCTGCCACTTACCAGCCAAGAACCATTGGGCATGTCCACTTTAGTATCCCACTGTCATTGTGGGAACTACGTAAGAGAATGAATGATAAGTGCTTAGTGCCACTCCAGGCGCTGAGAGCTGATGTCCTAGGAGCCATTGGCCATGACTGGTGATTTCCTCTGGCCGGCTTACTTCACTTGGATTCATGTCTGCAGTCTCTGAAGGGCCTCTCTCCCCTTTACTGCCTCTGAAGGGGAACCTGGGCCACAGGAATGGACAGTAAGAGAAGGCTGGGGGCTACTTAGCCAAAAAGAAAGTTGCACAAATTTTCAGCAACTCTGGATGAGAGCCTTGCCTGATTTCTCTGGACCGGCTGCCTGGCAGGGCCCACGTTCGCAGATCATCGTGACGTTAGAGCTACACAGTGTTTCCAGTCCCAACCTGTTGGAGGAGTTTGCACAATCTGGCAATGCCGAACTGCTCGTCTAGAATGTCCTTTCTGCCTGAGACATCCTCAAGCCTCCCAGAATGGCCATCACACTCATACTTCAGTTTATCAATCTGTAAATATTGGTCCAGTTCCCATCTCCAGTGTAAGTGAGGAAAAATGGGCTGAAAAAGCAAACCCCAAATTCTGGAAAATAATTTTGTATCATCAACAATAGATATAATATAAATGTAACATATTGAGAATGAATTTTTAAGATCATTTTTATGATGATAAAGTGTTCTGAAATGTATTTTTAATTGACAGGACAAACAGGTCTTTAAAAAGAGTGGAATTTCAGGACATCTCATTAAGTCATTGAGTAATATAGAAGCCCATCATTTACATACCATTTCCAGACAATTGAGTCTACCCATTTAATGCCAAGCATTTTTTTATCTAATGATTTTCATTTATTACATTTGAGTTTTGAAAAGATCACTTTGGCAGCCAAGGACACGTGTATCATTGTGCAGGTTGTACACTGCGCAAGGACCCACATTTAATGGAGTATCATTCACATCAGACCTTAACAATTTGTATATTTATTTCAAGCATTTCCAGCAGATGGCAGTAAACAGTGTTGCTCTAATGAAATCAGAGAAGTAAAATGTCTTGAGGAAGAGATGTCTTTTTCTAATTAGCACACAGTGACCTATGGGCCAGAGGTGGTCTTGTTAGCATGAATCTAGAGGACAAAACTGAGGGTGGAAACCAGCCATTACAATGATCTGGGGTTGAAGAGAAGGTAGTCTTAGCACAGTAATGGCAACAGGCATGGAGAAGAGGGGCAAAGGGAACTTGTGTTCCCAAGATCAATAAAATCACTCAAGAAAATCACTACTAGGGAGTGACTCCCAGGTAGGAGCTGGGTGTGATTGGAACTGCCAGGCCCCAAAATGAAATCACTTTGGGGAGAGTGATTTCAATTTGGGGATGTGGTAAGTTTGATTTACCTGTGGAGTGACCAGGTGAGGCTATCCAGGTGACATTACAGCAGGGTTGGAGGCACAGAACTAGTAGCATGGGCAGGTGGGTGGAAGCTGGAGCCATGAATGAATGGGGTTTCCCCAGAATACAGCATGGCCTCAGCAGAACAGAGGGCCCATATAGACCTCCAGGGGTACCATCATCCTGTGGGCAAATGGTCTAACTGGGAGGAGCTGGGGGAGGAGACAGCCCTTAAGGAGTGGCCACTCCATGCCCTCTGTCTCAGCCCTGCATTTCCAGTGGCATTTCCCATCTCCTGTGGACTGTGATATTCAGTGTTGGCTTAGATTTGTGTACAAAATAATGTGCACGATGACCTTTCTAACATCCCTTCTGGCTAGAGAAATCAGTGTTTTTACTACCAGATTCTCAACTATACTGCAGATGGAAGTGACTTCTGCGAAGTGAGGGATTTGCTATAAAAGATATGGACTTCATACAAGTCTCCACCACTTAACAGAATAATGATCTTTCCACGCAATTTGCATTGAAACAAATGGGTGCTGAATAAGTCCATTTTTCCTACTGATTGCCAAAGATACTTGTGTTCCCAAGATCAATAAAATCACTCAAGAATGTAACAAACTTTTATAGTTTGTGTGGATATATTTGTCATATCATTTGAAAATATTAATATTATTTCAAACATTTAAACAGTGAAGTCCTTGGGATAGATGTTTAGACTGAACATCCAACAGAGAACAAGACCACCTTGGTCTAAATGTTCTGTTGTGTATTAAGAAGTTTTTCTCTTTATAAAAAAAAATTATATCTCTGCTTTTGCACTTGAGCACATAATCAATATTTTCTTTCTTTTAACTTAAATCAGAAGGGCTATTCCAAGAGCCCAGTCACACGCAGGCTGAGCCTCACCCCTGTGCCTGCATCGTACCACCTGCCTGTATTACTACCCTTTGTCTCTTCTGCTGCATTTGATTTTGGCAGGTTTTTCATCTGTGAATCCAGTTTCTGTACATCCATCTGTCAAGCTGAAAATAACCTGATCTCAGGGCCTTTCTGAAGGCTCCAAGCATGTGGGGCTTCCCATTAGCTCTGCCTTTCACGCTGGCAGCTGATGGGAGGATGTTTAACTTGTTCCTCTAAATGCAGAGGACAGAGTCAGGAAAGTGATAGTCCAAGATGCTAAATGAAATTCAGTTGCTCAGAAGCTTAAAGTTAGGGGGCTCCTTGATACCCCCCACCCATCTAGAAAAAGGGGTAAGGGGTGCTCCTTCCTCCTGTGTGGGGTTCCCAAGACGAGGAGGTGCAGGAAGCTCCTTTTTATTGTGCAAAATGGGGAACTGCATATTTTAATCTAGAGCCATAAAGCAAGCCTCTTGGTGAAAACTTTATGACTACCTTTCTGATGGGTACCCCCCTTTTCCAGAGAAAGAAAGGGCTGGGCAGCAGGCTGAATGGAGTAAACGAGATTATCTAAGACGGCATTACTTACAAACACTATCCCATGGCTCCAGCAAGTATGTTCATACTTCTCAAACTGCAGTGCCTGATCTTTGATTCAGGAAATATAGTCTCTGTATAAATGAATTGTTGGTACATGCATATTCGTTGCTTAATAACCTGGAAAAGATGTTGTGAGAATGAATTTGCAGTGATTTAGCTCTTTTCATTATGGAAATGCCATATAAATATTTAACTCTAATGCTTATTTTATTCTAATTTTTTGTTAATCACATTTGCTTAGTTAAATGGCATACTTATGACAAGTTTGTTTTTCATTGCCCTAGATTTTATGAGCGATGGCAATTTCTAGTGCTGTTTATTTGAAATAAGGTTGATTGTAAAGACTCATACGGAATCGCCTATTAGTTTTAGAGCTTAGTGTTCATGCCATTGTACCAGCAAATCCCCCAGCACACACACATACGCTTTTTGCCCCCACATTATCAGTGAAACAACACATTGGCACATTGCCTCTGGCTTTCTGCAGGAAGGAATTTTTCTTTAAAGGATCATTCATATTTTTGAAGGCAGACAAATTTGGTTTAGCAGAACATCCTTCTAAAATTGAGGAAGAAAGAAAAATAACAAAATAAGGCAGAGACAGAAGGGGAAAGCATACAGATGGTATAAACCAATTCTATAGTTTTTTTTAATTTTTGCCTCAGAAATTTTGATAGCATGTGAAACAGTTTTAGGAAAATATCTTTTTATCATTTCTTTTACATTTGCCACACAACATGTTTGTTAAAGTCAGAGCCATGTTTGGGTCCTGAGGGAGATGTGGAGAACCCTTGGACCCCAGATACCTTCCTTCCTGGGTCTCACAGGTGTGCCTGTTGGGAATTCACTTTGTGGCTCAAGCATTTCTTCATCCCACAGTATAAGTTAGCTCTTCTCATCCACTTTCTTTTAGGACAGGAGGGACCTGAGACATCAAGTGAAGAGGAGAAGGTGATTCTGAAAGGGGTTCCAAGTGGGTACTGAAGGCAGAATTTATCTATATCACTATTCTTTTCAGAGATGGCCTTGCTCTCTAGACTGAGAGAAGCTCAGGTCTTGTGTTAGGGTCTTGTGTTAGTAAGGGTTAACTTCTGCTGACAGTGGCTTAAATAAGACAGTATATTTCTCTCCCATGCAAAAGAAATCTGTAGAAAATGGTCTAGGTGAGTAAGGAGGTTCCACCATCATAAGGAGACTCTGGTTCCTTCTCTCTTGTTGCTCTATCATCCACAACTTCTTCCTCAAAGACCATTTCCAGAGAAAACCTTTAGAAAAGTCAGACTGCATTCTGCGATGCCTATTAACTCCCCCTTGTAATTTCAGCGGAAATTCTAGAATTGGCTGGGAATGCAGCAAGGGACAACAAAAAGGCCCGGATAGCCCCAAGACACATCCTGCTGGCAGTTGCCAATGATGAGGAGCTCAATCAGGTATGTCTGAAGCCTTGAGACAAGCCATGGAATGGGTTTGCCAAACACACTACTGCGTGTGCACCTGGCTGGTACAGATCATTCCTGCTACAGTTCCCAATCACGTGAATATAAAAAAAGTCAGATCATATAAGAGAACAAATTCTGCTAGCTGTATCATTCAGAATGAAAATGAGATTGCCTCTAGAATAGATCCGTTATATATTCGGGGTCTTGACAGACCCTTTTTCCTGTTTAAAAGCCAGCTCTCTGTGTTGCTGGGAAAGGTACAGTGCAAATAGTCATTCTCATCAGTTTCTCCACCTTAACTTTGTTGATGATTCATTCTGATGAAGGAGTATTTTTTATACATTAGAACTGACCCTTTATATTTTAGAAGTGACTCCAAAGTGGAGTCAATACCTACCCCAGGAAATGCAAGATGGCAGATAGAGAGTGGAAGAATTTTCATTTTCTAATCTCATTCTTCTCAAACTATCTGTGGTGAAGTGAAGAATGAGTTCTTATTTCTAATCCATCATGGACTGATTATTTTTAAAAATACAAATCAAAATAATTACTAGAAAAAGTTAAAAAACCAAAAACATGCAAACTAAAAGCCACAATTTTTGTTATTAGACCCACTAGAGATAACACTACCTGTCAGTTTGCTATAACAATTTCTAGACTCTTCCTCACGATTTCCATATCTTTCTTGCCACAGGCAGTGACTGCCCATCAGTGGACCAGTCCTGGCTGCAGATCATACAGGGTAGGCCAGTGTGGCTCTAGGATGTGCAGACTATTATTAGTGTAGTAGTACATGTCAGTTATTTACAAAGTAAACAGATACTAATTGATCAAATATATTTTCCTGATGGAATGCATGATAAAAAGAGTATAAAGATCCCTGGTCTGTTGTTAACTGGGTCTAGCTCTACCACTGACCTCGGAACCTAGTTTTGTCAAGCTATGTGCCCCACGTGCGAAGCTCTTAATCCTCTGTTACATCTGGAATTCCAGAGCTCTGGGCAACATCCCTGGTTTCAACCTCTATCCCCTTTCATTACAATTGCTTGTTTTGCTTTCTGTACAAGATCATAGGATGCCTCAACAGCTACAGAGAAGTGCTCCACCAGTGAAACAAGGGAAGGCCAATTAAACCATGGGTCACACAATGTCTTTGGGAAAGCAAAGACCAGATTTAATACTTGTTTCGACAACAGTTAGAACTGTATTAATCCAGACCCAGCAAGCTTTTTGCTGTCTGAGCTCATGCATTTCACTCTACAGCTGCTAAAAGGAGTGACCATCGCCAGTGGAGGCGTCCTGCCCAGAATCCATCCCGAACTGCTGGCCAAAAAGCGAGGGACCAAAGGCAAGTCAGAAACTATCCTCTCCCCTCCCCCAGAGAAGAGAGGAAGGAAGGCAACGTCAGGCAAGAAGGGGGGCAAGAAATCCAAGGCTGCCAAACCACGGACGTCCAAAAAGGTGAGCCCGGGTGCATCTGTGAGCCAGGGACTCTCAGAGAATAGGAGGAAGCTGAGTGATCAGAAGACGAGGGCCTAGCCGTCAGCACTGAAGGACACGGTTTCTGCACAGTTTGGCGCTGGGAGAAAATGACAAGAATGTGTGTGTAGAAGAATGAAGAGCCTTTGAGACTAGGGCTCAAATCATCAAGCAGGGTCTACTAGGGGTTTCCAAACCCAAAGCACGGGTGGTTTTCATGTTTCCTGATCCCTTACACTGCCCCCACCGAAATCTTAAATGAGTGAGGATAACTGGAAGTCTACTTTTCATTTCTCCCCAGAGCTCAGTGCATACTAAAAAATCTCTACTCTCGCATGGATAGTCACCTGAGTTCAGCCAGTGGGATTTCAGGAGTTTGGGATAGCCTGATTCGTTAAGTAGCTCTAGCTCAGAGATGGCTGTTTGTAGAGTAATACTTTCATATACAGCCCAGGATAGTAACCACTAGCCACATGTAGCTATTTAAATTTGAATTTAAATTAATTAAAGTGAAATAAAATTAAAAACTCAATTCCTTGGTTGCACCAGCCACATTTCAAGTGCCCATCTGCACTGAGGTGTGCAGACACAGAACACGTCCACGACTGCAGGCAGTTCTGTCGGATAGCGCAGCTTCAGGAGGCATCAAATTTTCATTCCACAGACCTCCATGAAAACATAAAAGATTATATTTAAGAGTTTATGCCACTGCCTCTATGCCCCAGGGAGGTTGAGCAGTGTGCTGCGCATGATCCCATTTGGTTCTGATGCTTGTCTTCATAAGCTGGACGCATTGCAGAGTCAGAATAACATACCTGTGTCCAGGTGTGGTGAGGACTACACGTACGTGTGAACCCCTTTAACACTTTATTTGGGGCAGCACTGTTTTCTCTCCCTACCATTGCTGCCCATTGCTTCCCTCAGTTGAGACCATAACACCTTACTGGTTCCTTTCATAGCCAAGTTGGTGGTCGCCATGGGAAGAACTTAATAAAGCCACTTTGGGCTTTTTCTGGATTATTTCTCATCTGTCCTCCTGATTTCTACCAACAGTCCAAACCAAAAGACAGTGATAAAGAAGGTACTTCAAATTCCACTTCTGAAGATGGCCCAGGGGATGGATTCACCATCCTGTCTTCTAAGAGCCTTGTTCTAGGGCAGAAGGTAATAAAGAGAATTGTAATGTGTGTAGTGAAATACAATTGCATTTTTATAACCTACTGTTTACAAGCAATGATGCCTCCTTCATCCCTTGCTCCCCTAATAACAACTCTCACTCTGGTCTTGAATTATTCATTTTTAAGTGAAAGAGCTATGGCAATGTCTGCATTGTGACAGTAAACAAGCTTTTTAGTGCTGAGAATTGTTCATGCTGACTTTGGCCAGCCAAAAGCAGGCATAGCGATCTTTCTGGTCAGTAGGTAGGAGGCATTACTGATTGTGCTGGGAATTCCCCAGGCCCCAGTGATTTCTGTGCCCACCAAAAAAGTCCGTAGCTAGCTCTCCCAACCACCTCTGGGAGGCCTGCTTCACATGGTTCAACGTAATTTATTGAAGAAAGAAAATACAAATATATGCTTCCTGCATATCCCTAGTGTTATAAGTGAATTATTTGCCAATAATTCAGTCTGCCTGCCTTTGTAGACTGCAGAAAGAAAACCAACAGGGCTATACATTTGAACAGTCTTCAGCAGCACAACAGTGGCCCAGCCAGACATGCAAATCATTCATTCTCACAGCCATAAACTTTATGGAACAATTTATCGACCGAGTCAACCAGGGCTGAAATAAGATACGCATGGAAACAGTTAACCGTATCTCTGGTAGCTGATTGTTTGCAGCCTGACGATAGTCTGAACCTCTGTTGACGCAGCTGGAAAGAACATGTTACAAGAAGAGCAAAACATGGCAGGTTCCTAATTCATCCCCAAGGAAAGCAGGGAGGCCAAGAGGTGGAATTTATGTCCCCTCTAGGGGCTGTCCATAGTTACAGGATGATCAGCTTTCTCTCACTCATCTAGGGGGACATAAAGTCCTTGCTCACATGGGGAGACCATGGAGAGCACCCCTCGTGCCACTCAGCTATGAGCACATAGGCCAGCATTTCACAAACATAGCGAATGTGGTCCCCAAAGACAGTGTGGCCAGGCATAGGCAGGTCAGAAGCCCAGAGCCTACTACTTCCCTCAGGCAAAGTTGTGGGCTTCACGTCCCTGACCCTGGAGGTCTGTGCCGCTCTGGGAGGCATCCAGGGCACAGTGGGGAGAGGAGAGAGCAAGCCTGGCTTTTCTTGCAGGAGGGACTCACAGAATATACCCCCCGAACACCAAGGCCACCCAGATTGGGAAATGCAGGCATAAGCTAAGGAGAAAGAAAGGGGAGGGGAGGGGAAGGGAGGGCCATCCTGCTCCTAGGAGAGGAGGCAGGTTCGCTGCATGCCACTGGCCTCGGACGGAAAATCAAACCCGCTGAGCTCAAAGAGCCTTTGAAAACTACACCTGGGAAACTGAGGTGGCTGCTCCATGTATGACCCCTTTATGTTGACACACAGTGTAAATAACTGAGAGGATTAACAGATGTGAGATAAAAGAGGAAGATTTTAGTAAGATTGGCTCTTTCCCACATTCTCCTTCCTTTCTTCCCAATGCAGCTGTCGCTGACACAGAGTGACATCAGCCATATTGGCTCCATGAGAGTGGAAGGCATCGTCCACCCAACCACAGCCGAAATTGACCTCAAGGAAGATATAGGTAAGGCCCTGAGACTTCCTGATGAGTTGGTCCTTGTCAACTGGACATCCTCTGCTTGGGGGGCCATGTCCCACTCCACCATTGTAGGTAATTGAACAGCATTACTAGAGAGGAACTCATTTTGTTTTTAATCTGCATATATATCTGGAATTTTTATTGAAGTATTATATAAAAACTGATCATTAATGCACAGCTGATAAATGTTTCTCAGGTAAACACAACCATATAGCCAGCCCCTTGCTCATGAAGCAGAAACTTGCCGGCACCCCATAGGCCCCCTCCTGTCTCCTCCTGGTCACCATTCCCCCCAAGAGTCACCACTGTCCTGTCTTCTGACAGCATAGATGGGTGTCGTCCATTTCGGAGTTCATGTAAATGACATCATACAGTATGTCTTTTTCTGTGTGTGGTTCCTGTGCTCGACTTGGTGTTTGAGCAGTCCACCCGTATTGTGGGGTGTGGTTGTGCTCATGCATTTTCTCTGCTGTTTCGTATCCCACCGTAGGAATGTACCTCCATTTGTTGATCTGGTCTAGCATGGGTGGCATTTGGGTGGTTCCCAGTTGGGGCTGTCATGAGTTGTGCTGCTGTCCATGGTTTGATTAAAACTCTACTTATATTTTAAGCTTAATTATTAAGAACACCATTGGTAAAAATAAATTGGCCATCTGGAAGGTTGTCTGTGGGGCCATACACTGAGCTCTTTTGCCAGTGGATCGCCACCTGTCCTGCAAGTGGTGGCACAGCTGTTCCCAGGCTCGGTGGAGGCACTGTGGAGGGCAAGCTAGCAAAGGCACTAGAAATAATAGCACACTAAAGGGTCACCATCTCATCCATTTTCACAAGAAAGAAGTGTCCTAGACTCTCTGTTGAAAGAGTGAAGTAAGCAAGGAAAGGGCTTTGTCCCTGGGGAACGGGGCTTGCTTCTGAGGCAGGTGGTCTGAGGCAGTTGGGAGGAGCTCAGCCCTGGGTGGTGGCCCTGGGGCCCCAGGCTGCTGGGCTCAACTTACATTCCCCGTGGCATCAGAGGCCACTTGCTTTGCTGAAAAGGAGATAAGACGGCCTTGGGGAGAGGAAGGCGGGAGCAGGTGGGGACACTACAGAGAAACAGGACTTCTCTTGCACACAGAGTCCATAAAAATTCTTCTTCACCCTTCACATGCAGCCCAGGACGAACCAGCTGCCCTTAGCCCCTCTGTGAAAAGCTCCCCCTAGTAGCCTTAATCTTGAGCTCTATTTTGAAGTGTGTCCTAGCTTCTTATGAAAAAACAAGTAGCACTGTCCTACTTTATCATTTCTATAGTTTGCATTTTTGTAACAGGGAAACAATGAAGATACTGGTATTTTTTAAGGTGGCAGGGTGGTGATTAAATAGAAAAAGCACTGGTATTGGAGCAAAAACTCAAGCTCAGATCCCAGCAGTGAGGGTTCTGGAGTCAGTATGGGTCTGTGTCCTGGATTTTACAAATCACTTCCTAGGTGTGTGACTTTAGGTGGGTTTCCTAAGCTCTCTGAACCTGTTTCCTCACCTGTAAGTGAGGGTAACAATTGTACCTGTCTCACAGGGGTGCTGTGAAGACTAAGTAAGATAACATTTGGATGAGGCTTAGTCCAGTGCTGGGGTCATATGCACTTGATAAATGATAGCTTTTATATTGCTGTGTTGTTGGAAGGGGACCCCCATCATGATTCCATTCTCCACTACTGTCGCCCTAACCAGTAATCCCATGCAGATAAGGCCCTGATTTATTCTTTTTAAAACATAATATGTTACTACAAGGTCGAGCATACACAAAAACAGCAGAAGAGTCTGATAAAACTATGCACTGAGATGCAATAACCATCAGCCCATGTCCAAGTTAGTTTGGGCTCTACCCCCACCCACATCCTCCCAGGCTTCCTATTATCTTCTCTATGAATAGTTCAGAATGATAAGGGCTATTTTTTTTAGCAGCATAACCACAATACCATTATCACAACTAAAACTATCAAATATCAGTGTTCAAATTCCAATTGCATCATAAATGTCGATATATGTTTTATATGTATTTATTTGGTCCAGGATCCAAATAAGTCCACAGGTTGCAATTGGTTGATAAGTCTCTTATAACCTGTGGGTTCCCCCTTCATCTGTCACTCCTTTCCTCTCTCTTTATTTTTGCAATTTATTGGCAGAGGAAGCTGGACTCTTTGTACTGGAAGGTGTCCTGCAGTCTGGATTTTGTTGATTGCAACCTCCTGGTGTTGTTAAACATGTTTCTTCTCTGTTTTTCTTAACAAATTGGCAGTCAAATCTAGAGGCTTAATGAGATTCAGGCTCAAAGTTTTTGGCAAGACTGCTTGGTCAGTGATGGAATGTTCTTCCATCAGGAGGCACATAATGCCCCATTGTCCCCCACTAATGCTCCTCTAGGTTTGCCCATTTGCTAGGGAGGTGCAAAGTGGGGATATTCTAATTCTAGTATTCTTTCTTCACTGGACCACTTCCACAGAGAGCAAGGCCCCTCATCAACTTTCTAGGCTGCTTTATTCTTAGAAATCTTCAGGGAAGAGGGTTTTCATACATTCCCATCTGGTCCCTGACCTGAATGCAAATATAGCAGTTTAGGCCTATTTCCCCTGCTTCTCAGCATGAACGACACTGCAGCTTGGTTACCTGGCCCTCTCCAGGCTTCTGTGACCCAGCAGATCAACACTGCCCAGGAGTCTGAGGGCCAGAAAGGCTAGAGGCATTTGGCATGGCCCACAATTACCATTTCCCAATTGTATGGTTGAAACACAAGCACATTAATGAAGAAACTCCCTCCCCACCCCCACCCCAAGGGAGAGTGACTGCTAGAATAGACATTTTCCCCAAATAATATGATGACATGCTGTGGCTCTCCAAACATATTTGAGTGTCTGAGTGTGGAATGGAGAAGCTCCCTCATGCAGCTTCTAGGGAAGCCTCTGAACTGAATAATAATTGTAAAAAGAGAGCTGAGACCTGCCCCTAACACCCAGATAGCCAGATTTCCATTAAAAGGTGAAAGTACGTGACCTGCCCCCAAGAGCAGCAGCAATCATTCTAGCCTGCACCAAACACCGGTATGTCCTTCCAGAGGCCTGAAGACTGGTGCACACGGCTGAGGCTCCTGTGGGGCCCCTGCCTTGCCACTTCTTGAGGGCTCCCTGGAGACGGCCTCTATGGAAATACAATCCTGAAATACTGAGCAGAGAATTGTCCTAATAGCAAAGACTCAAGGGATCTCCTATCAGGAATGTCCTTAGAGATGAGGAGTGTCCTCAGATCTCTGCATTTTTCCATTGCAAATCAAGACCCATATAGGAGGACAGCATGTCAGGCTGCCCTGAGCCTGTTCTGTGACCCCCAGGGACTTACAACAAATACATAGGTGGTGGTGAGACAGGACCCCAGAGCTGTCCACCCAGAGGCTCCTGCTGAGCCATCTGTCATCTCGGGACTGGGCCCCCCATTGTGGCTACATCTCCAAATGTGACTCTGTGACCAGGCTCGGGAGCTGATGAAAAGAGGCAGAGTGCAGGGACTGTGAGGTGGCCCCCAGTGTGGGGTGCTGCCCTCTAATCACAGATCATGGCTACTAAACCCAGAGGTCAGAACACTGGAGCCTCAATTTTTTAAAAAATATCACCTTTAGGATTCATGTCATGAGACTGCTTGAAGGCCAAATCACCTGCTAAAAAGGTCCTTTTAAAAGATTTTGCTCCAATCTAACTCCTGCTGGACAGAAGCCCAGAGACTTCTGCCACTGGTGACCACTAGCAACCAGGATTTCAGTAGCAAAGTGATTCTGACTTTTAAAGGATTTGTTTGTTTTTCCTGGCCTACTAAAATATGTCAAACAGTATAGTTAATGACATTGAAAAAGACAACCACAATGGCTTCCCATTGTTTGTCTTCACAGGTAAGGCCTTGGAAAAGGCTGGGGGGAAGGAGTTCTTGGAAACAGTAAAGGAGCTTCGCAAATCCCAAGGCCCCTTGGAAGTTGCTGAAGGTGAGTGTGGAATTGGGCCCAGATTCCCAGCACAGCCTCACCACCTTCCTCTCCAGCATTCGGTGCTTCACGCATATTCCATTTGCAAAACAAAATATGCTATAATTAATCAGAGAGCTTTTTAGCATCTCCCAGATAATTTGCACAGGCCCATGTTGATCATTTTATATGGTTTGGGGGCCATAAAGTGTCTGGATGGTTCAAGTCGATTTGCATCAAATCACGCAAAAATGAAGCTATTGGGTAACTTTGTGGGTGTGGGTGTGTGTGGTAAAACACACATAACATAAAATGTAGTATTGTAACCACTTAAAACACTCATCATGTTGTTCCACCATCACCATGGTCTGCATTGCAGAACTTTCTATCACCTCCAGTGGAAACCCTGAGCGCATTAAGCAGTCATGCCCCTCGCACCGCCTGGCAACCACCAGTCTGCCTGTTCTGGATGTCTCGTGTAAATGGGATCTTATAATGTGTGATCTTGTGTGTCTGGCTTCTTTCACTTAACATCAGTTTTTTCGAGGCTCACCCATGCATCCGTACTTCATTCCCTTTTATGGCTGAGTAATACTCCATTTTGTTTATCCCTTTCATCTGTTGGGTTGTCTCCATCTTTGAGTACTGTGACTAGAGCCGCTATGAACACTGTGCACAAGTTTTTGCTTGAATACCTGTTCTCAAGGATATTGGGTAGCTTAACTTCAGATCTGTGTCCCTCTATCCCCGTGCCACTTCCAGGGACCATCTAGTCAGTCCAAGTGCTGCCCTGTGCTGGGGCTCCAAAGACAAGCATACCCACTCCTACCCTCAAACACTGGACAGTCTAGGAGGAAAGACAGATGCAGAAGCAGGGCTCAGAGAGGGGCCACACCTCTGCTTGGGGGAACTGGAGAGGCTTTGGCAAGGATGTAGGACCACTTGGGGGCAGGGATATTATGGGCAGTAAGGGCACTGGTGCGTGAAGCCTCGGGTTATGAGCCAGCAAGGAATTGGCAAGTAGAAAATTCTGTATAAACAAGAGAGGCACCTTTGAAAGTTTAAGCTGGGGACTGTCATGATCAGATTTGATTGCTAGAATAGTACTGGAAGCTTCCGGTTAAGAAAAAATATGAGTCCACTCTTTACAATGTGCACATACCACTCCCCAGATACATAGCAATGATAGATAGGATTTCTTTTTTTAAATTGTAAAACAGAGCCACACTGAAATATAAGCCAAACATACACATAGACAGGGATAGCACAGCTGCATGAACTGCAGCAGGCCACTTGGCTCCAGGTCTGGTAATACGCAGAGCCACCAGGAGGTCTACACTTACATAGTGATGGGACCAGAGGTACCTTGTACTTGGAAGGGACCAGAGCCAGGCCCATTACTCAAAGCAAGAGCTGGATAAAACTCTCACAGACCTATATATGGCTTGTGTGAAATCCATTTTCCAGGATAGCAGAAGGGAGCAGACAGCCCCTCTCCCATGCCCGGGGTCACATTGCCCCATGGCTCAATGTCAGGATCTCCCACATCCCCTGTGTGACCATGAGACAGAACCTTGCATCAGCCATCTAAGACAGGACCCTGCCTGGGGGCTTGAGGGTGGCACCCAGCAAACAGCCTATGGGCAGGAAGGAGAGAAAACTAGCTGCTCTACGTTGAAAGAGAGGCACCAACATGCTGAAAACAGTTCCAGAGGCAGAAAATAGAAGGTAGAGAAACAGCCTTTGAAAAGATCATGGCTGAGAATTTGCCAGAATGAAACCCATGAGTCATCAGGTTGAATAGTGAGTAAAATAAATGAAAATAAATCCCAACCCTGGGCAATCATGATAACACTTCACACATTCAAAATCAAGAGAAACTCAAAAGCAATCCAACAAAGGTTATCATTTGTAAAGACAGTTCTGACAGCAGACTTCTCATCAGCTAACAAAGGATAGTTGGAAATGGGAAAGGAGTATCTTCAAAGCATGGAGAGGAAAAGGTGTCCACCAGGAATTCCACATGCTGCTGTCTTATTCAAGAGGGAGGACAAAAGAGGCACAGTTTCAGACACACACAGAAGTTGAGAGTCAGAACTCCACGGGTCCTCGCTGAAGGGGCTATAGGAGATCTCACAGAAAGAAACAGAAGTGAATCCAGAAGGAAGGAGAGGGGTGCCCAAAACAACCACGAGCTAAGAAACTGGTGGAGATAAGTTAGGTCTGAGCATCTGGGGCCAGGGGCCAGTCAGCAGTAGCTACCAGGGAAGAGGGGGTTGGCAACCATGATTCTGGAAAAGAGAGACAGTTCTTCAGGTTCTAACACATATTTCACTTAGTTTGTAAACTCCATCACTTGTAAGACATTCCCTTATTGTATAGACCATTAAGAAAGAATACATTTCCAAGATGGGGTACCTAATAGGAGACCCACATAAAGCCAAGACACAGTCAGTTTACAGCAAGCAAGAAAGGAACCCACCAAGGGCAACAGGTGTGTATCCTGAGCTGGTTTGCCCACAGATTCGCAGCCCAACCCAGGGCGGCCCAGACGCCTCAGGCAGCCAGTCAGTGGGGAGCTCGGTTTGGCAGTGGGAGGGGGCGATGGAAATGAAGCAGACATGCCTGGAATGAGACCAGGCCAAGGAGCAGAGATGGAGAAAGGGGAATCAGGTTTAGGGCGTGAATGATGACTTTGTTGGGCACACAGTTAACCTGGGGCAGCAGAAAGGTCACTAAGGTGCAGGGCACTGTAAACGATTGTTAAAAGCGGAGGAGGAAAATGGTTTGCAGGTGGTCAGAACTGAGCACCTGAGACCTGGGTGCCAAAGGGCAGGAGAAGAGAAGCTGTTGCCGGAAACCAAGGCAGGAAAGCCACAGTGTCCCAAAGACTAAGGATTATCAGTAGCAGCTTCCCTGCAGGGCAGGGGCTACTTTGCGAAGGTGTCAGGTCTTCAGCAGTGTGATACTTCTCCTGAGGGAAGGTACTGGAGGCTCCCTGCAGCAACCTGCCACCCTCAGCACAGGTCTTCACCCAGTGGCACCACATCGGATAAAAGAGTATTGGTAGGGGCTTCTACCAAATGTCAGTGTCCCAGTCCCGGAGATCACTCGACCCTTGACCTTGGCACCTTTGGGGAACATTGTAAATTACAGTTACCAGCCATTTCCAATTGCCATGGAAGTACTTTGTTGCAGGCTGACTTGTTATCATGGGCGAACTTCAAAGTCTAGTGTCATCAAGGGCTTCAAAAGGATGAGGAGTCGTGCCATTTTTAACTGATCAAATGTTTGACTTAATACTGCCTTTAGAAGCATATTTCCTCTTATTTAAAATACTTTACATTAAAAAGATACCATTCAGCTGGAACATGGTTTATTTTAAACATATATATAAAATAAATCAACCCAACTGGTGAAGATGATCTCTCCAGCTTATGAGAGCAGTAAGGGCCTCGGGAACTGGCCACAAGGGGCAGGACTGATGCCCGGGCTGCTCCTGGGGTACAGCTGCATGTGGTCAGCCCACTCATGCCTGCCTCGTTCAGATTTACGTTGACTGATTCATTCACTCCATCATTTAGTGTTAGCACCCAGCGAGGCACTGGAAGGCACAGGGTTGACAGCCTTGGATGGCAGACTGGGGATGTCCCTTGCATGTCATCCACACACACGAGTGCAGTCGTGAGTTTCCCAACACTGTGGATGTCCCTAGGAAACACTTCACATAAACTAGGTGGGCATGATGTACTTCAAATAAATCTTTCAAACCAACCCACTCCCTGCTCCAGAATGCAGCAGACACACGTTCGTGTCATAAGCACGGTCCCTCGCAGGCGTGGCTGCCCAAACTGCCCCAGGTGCCCAAGCCGGTCACTCCAGGAGGGCCAGGGACCTTTGCTCTCCCGGTTCCTTGAGGGGCTGGAGATGTTGGACCAGCCTCCTCTGGGGATGGAGGCCACAGGGACTTCCCCTGGGCTCCTCAGTGCCCACAGTGCTTCTCTGCTCTTCACTGATAGAATGGGTCTGAGGGAGAAAAACGCAAGAAGCAAAGAGTAGGAACTAGAATTATGAGGCGAGGCTGGCATCATCCACTTCACAACCCATCTTGAACCTCTGCTTCTAGGACACAGGCTCCTTGGGCATAAGGATCAAAAGACAATCCGGCCGAGGATGCACACAACACAGGCGGCAGTCCTACAAGTCCTCCGCCAGACCTCCTAAGTCAGGATCAGGGGGTGGAATGGTTAATTTAAAAACTAAGTCGATTTTTAACATCTACTTGTTAAAAGCCTCTGTATTCCTTTCCTATGGTTGCTCTAACAAATTACCACAAACTTAGTGGCTTCAAACGACACAAATTTCTTAAGCACTCCAGGAGGCCAGAAGTCCACAATCAAGCACTAAATGCTAAAATGAAGTTGTTGGCAGGGCCAGTTCCTTCTCAGAGGTGTTCACACCTGGACTCTTCCAGCTTCTAGGCTGGGACTCCCTCGGGCTCCTGGCCAGGTCACTCCAATTCTACCCATTGTCACATCGCTGCCTCCTACCTTTGACTTCCCTGCCTCCCTCTTGTAAGGACCCATATGATTAAACTTCAGCCTCACCGGATAATCCAGGATAATCTCCCCATCTCGCAGTCCTTCACTTAGTCACACCTGCAAAGTTCCTCTTGCCAAGTAAGGCAACATTCACAGGTTCCAGGGATTCAGATGTGGGCCTTTTGGGAGGCCATTCCTCAGCCTACCATGGCTACCAGAGATGATTCTGATGTGTACCTTTGATTGGAACCATCATGTAGGTAGCCTAACCTAGAGACTGGTTGGCAGACCGTGTGACAGTCACATGCTGTCACATCAGCATTAAATGCATTTATCAAAGCTTCTACCAACTGTCCAAAGCAATTCTGACGTGGCTCCTGCTCTCTGGTAAGCATACACTCCCCACTGGAAGCATGGAACATTGTCCAGCCAACTTCTCTCTGCTTCCTTGTCCCCCATGCATCTAAGAGGTACACGTGGGGTTCAGCCTAACCCCCTGGCTTAAGGTGAAGACAGGAATAACCTGCAGCATTTCTCTCTCACACCGCAGCTGCCGTCAGCCAATCCAGTGGACTTGCAGCCAAATTTGTCATCCACTGTCACATCCCTCAGTGGGGCTCCGACAAATGTGAAGAGCAGCTGGAAGAGACCATCAAAAACTGCCTGTCAGCAGCAGAGGACAAAAAGCTAAAGTCTGTGGCGTTCCCACCCTTCCCCAGCGGCAGGTAAGACGGGCTTCTCCAGGCAGGGGAGAGGTGCGGAGCCTACCCTTGCAGCCTCCTCCAGGGGACCAGCTGCCAGCACAGCCAAGCATGTTGACCAGGGGACAGGGCAAGAAACCCAGTTTCCATCCTTCAGAACACAGGAAGAAGGGTGGCTTCGAAAAGGACTGGAAGGCAGAGTTCTCTTTCGAGAGCCTCCCATATTCAAAGCCCACATTCCCACCAGCTGTCCCTGTCTAGAATGCACGGTCCGAAAACACCATGCTCAGAGTGGGGTTTGAAGACCAGCAGCAGCAGCCCCGCAGAGTTGGAATGCAGGATCTCACGCCCCACCCCAGTGACCTACTGTGCTGCCCTGGGGGGGCTCTGACAAACACATGCAGAGAAGTGAAGGGCTCTCGCCCAGAGTTTGCTTCGGGGGGTTGGGAGAAATGATTGTTCTAATGGTCACAGACCCCAACCAGGTACAAAAGCGGTATTTCAGGTAAATAAGGATGTCTGTCCTCACAAGAAGCGTGCCTGCTCCCTTCACATGCATAGCCAAAGCAAGCTGTGCTTTAACACCCTCTCTCTGAAAGATGCCCCTCGTACATAGATATGATTTACACTCTAAAAACTTTGTTATAGTTGAGTCATGGAAAGGCTATGAGGAAAAGAATGAAGCCTAGCTTCCTGCTATAATTCTATCGACACAAGCAAACAGTACTGGGTCTCCAGAGCCTGGCCCAAAGCCACTGTGGGTTGAATTCTTTGCATAGCTGGGTCCACATGCCATGATGTTCTGAACCTGGACACTACATCTGAAGGAGAAGAGTTCATATTAGGCTGTCCCATACTGGACCTGCCCAAGGGGTGGGGTGGTTGACCCCAAATGACCACAGTGGCTGTGCCCCTGGAGGCTGGTGCCATGGGCCCAGCCGGGCAGACAGCTCTGCCATGGCTTCCTGGTGCCTGGGGCCCTGCCCTGTCACCACTACTGGAATTACATCGTCATGTCCATACAGGTTACTGAGAGGAATGTTAAGTACATGAGAAAGGAATTATGAAGATGCACTGTTGAGTACACATTTTTGCCCTTTAATAAACAATCTTTAGCATGTAAACCAGTTTTGAGGGAGCTAACAGAACCTATATATGCTTTTTTGAAGATGAGGTTATTTCAAATGCTAAATTGGTAATATTTTTAAAGCCTGGCTCAACTAGAGTCAGATAAAATACATTCAAGCCCAGGGCACTGCTCACCGGCCAGCACGATGACCTTGGATAAAACCACTGGCCTCTCTGAGCCAGCATGGCACCTGTAAAGTGGGGACAGACCCTCTGCCTGTCCTCCTCCCAGGCTGTCCCTCTGACTAGGGTCCAAGTAAATCATGCATGGACCAACCTGCACACAGTGAGACCTGGTGAGATAGCAACAAGGGTCCAGTGCCAAGAAAGGAAGGAACCACAATACTCCCACCCCAGGCTGAGGCAGTTACCCCATGGGTCCCAGGGACCAAAGTGATGCTGGCTCCTCTTTTCCTTTGGCACAGGAACTGCTTCCCCAAACAGACGGCAGCCCAGGTGACCCTCAAAGCCATCTCGGCCCACTTTGACGACTCGAGTGCATCCTCACTGAAGAACGTCTACTTCTTGCTCTTCGACAGCGAGAGCATCGGCATCTATGTGCAGGAGATGGCCAAGCTCGACACCAAGTAGCTGCCCTGCGCCCAGCCGCACTTACCAACAGGAATCAGAGGAGGATCGCAGTCACAGGAGTGGGGTTTTATTTTTTAAAAGGAGAGCAGAAGGGTGACGGCAGGGGAATGGAAGGCGGCTAAAGGGAAGCGGGTAGCAGAGGCTGCAGGAGCAGGTCCTGCCCAGGAGCCCTCTGCATTTTATATTCTCGTTAAAGAGCCTCAGTCCGTAATTAACCAGGTCTCCACCAGGGGTTTCTTTCCATGTGTTTTCTTCCTGTTGTTTTAGAACTTTTTTAAAAAACAGACTTCGTTTTAGATTTATAGCATTGACTTTTACACACACAAAAAAAAAATCCTTTCAAAATTCTTAAAATCTTTTGTTTCTCCTTTTGCAAGGGAAGAGGGCATACAAGGGACTTGGGCTTTGTTGGCTGTACTCAGAGAGGAGAGAAGAAAATGAGAAAGGCATCCCACTGGTGCTTTGCTTTTCTGTCTAGTGCCCCCACCTCTACCCCTGTAATATCTGTACTACACCTCAAAATGTTTGCTTCAGGCTTTTTTTGTTGTTGTTTGGTTTTTTTAAAGAAAATGAAAGGAGAAAATAAAAGATCCAGTGTCTTTCTTACAACATATTCTTTTATTGCAACATTTTCCTCACTTCGGAAGTCTGTATCCCCATGGGTGGAACACTTCTAAAATGTTATAAATAGAATAAGGCTTCTCACTAATGGGCAGAGACTCCCATCATGCTAAGCCCAGGGCGGACAGCACAGAATGGCCTGTGTTTCTCAGGCAGCAGGTCCTGCTTCCAGATGGAGAGCCTAGTTGGCCTTGGTGCACAGGAACAAAGCCTCCATGGGGTTAGCCATCCTTTGAGAGAGGCACACGTCTAACTTAGGCCTGGGCAAAATGGAACAGACCTGGGCCATAGCCCAGATGGGATGGACCGAGAAACCCAGTGAGACTGGGGTCCCAGGGACTCTGGCCAAGTACCTAGTGGCCACCGTTAAAAGTGGGCAGGGAGGGACGGCATGGGTGGGCGGACGCAGAGCCTGAATGTATTCAGATGAACTCATCAACCACTTATGCTATAGAGTTAAACTGTGTGATCCATAATTGGCTCCTTTCAACTGGAAGTTCTCTTCCAAATAGTGGAGTCACTTATATATCTAACATTGCCAGGGGCAGGCATTATTGCCACATGGCTAGTCTTCCAGGTAAGTGACATCAGGGTTGGTCAGAAAACCAGAGCATAAAACCACACAGTGTCCACAGGGTCCCCTGCCCTCAGCACCAGCTGGAGTTTTGTCACAGATTTGCCCATGACCGGCCTGGAAGCACACAGGGGTTTATCTGCTGAGCCTCCCTGTTCCCTGAATGTCAGCCAGATGACAACCCACCCAAGGGTTACACTAGCTTGGCTGCCTTTCCTTAAACACCTCCAGCAGCTGGCAGACTAGACTCCAGTCTTAACCCCTGTTAGTTTTGCAAAAACTCACTCTGTTAGAATACACTAACCAGGAGGGAAATTTTATCTAACTCTTTCTTCTTAATGTAACCTATGGTATATAATCAAAAATGGAAGTATAGAAAGCTTCATAAAGCTGTAGAACTAATGATTTTAAATTAGGCTTCTATTAATAACATGGGAGTTGCAGAATGTATGGCTTCCCACCCCTCAGCAGGATGGGAAAGGTTCAGGGTATAGGCCCTCTCTCCACCCCAGCTCCCCTTGGCTGATCTCACTTTACAGGCTCTCCTTCCTGCTCTACCAGGCAGGATGCCAGCCTCCAGGACGCCCAGCTCTCTCCTACTCTGAGAGCTCTGAATCACACAACACACACATCCAAGAGGAGCCTGGGTAGAAAAGGCTGGCTGAACCTTCCCCAGAACCAGGGAACCATTCAGCCAGCACAACTGCAAATCCACCTTTCCAGACCCAGAATGAATCCTCTAGGGGGTGCCTTTTTTAATCCTCTTGGAGGTCTCTTCCTTTCTGTCTCTCTGTCTCTCCCAGTTTTTGGTTTTCTATAAGGTGTGTTTCTGGTCAATATATCACTGGCATCTTACTCTAGAAAAAGAGCTTTGCCCTTTGGCATTTGTCAGGCAGGTACCACTTGCCAAGCAATCTGTTCAGCCAGTGGTGGCAGTACCTCCCTTCCCACGCAGTGTCCCCATCAGGGTGGAGACTGCCGCATGGTTTTCCAACTTGTGGAGACAAATAGGTCCCGGCTCTTGGCCAGCCGAACCATGAGCCGCCCCACATAGAAGCCGCTGATCTGGCCCACGCCATCATTTCTCCCCATGGCTAGGAGGAACGTCAGTGCACCTGTGGAGCAGAGACACATGCACAAGCTAGAATCCCACTCACCATTCATGGGCCTACAGTTCCCAAGGACAGACCCTTCCCAGGCCTTCAGTCTGAGGGCAGAGAAATGTGTAAGACTTTTAGGAATGTGGGTGAGTCCCTGATTTATTTTTAAAGAGCTCTAGAGGGGCATTTCTGTCACCAGCTTTGAAGGTTTGTACTAGCAGTCAGTCCACACAGCCTTCTCTGGGTCTAATCTCAACTCTTAAAACTGTGATGTGCATGAGGCTTTCTCACCTGGCTTGTAGGCCTTGAGGGGCCTGTGTTTCCTGGAGTTGATGATATTGGCCACGGCAATGTTGGCATGAAGGCCAGCATGATAAGCTGTCTTGGGTTCCTTCACGTTGGCACAGTCGCCAATGGCATAGATGTGGCTGCAGCCCTCCACCTGGAGATACTGGTTCACTCTCAGAGCACCGTTGCCGGCCAGCTGACTCTCTGCTAGGCAAAACCAAGATCCTGAGCTCTCATGTTAAGAGGCCACCAGAACGTGGTAAAGACGAGCTCTGGTGCTGGTCAAACCAGCCTCCAAAGATACATCTCAAAAGTCAAGCCTCCCTCCGAAATGATTGCTGCCTGAGGTCCTCAGAGCCCTTCCTGCAAAGGCAAGGTCACTATTCCAGGGTGGAAGCTGGTCAGAGGGACAGCAGGTGTCCTGTTATACAATGCATAGAACTCTATGTTACTACAGTTAACAGTGATCAACTTACTACGATTAAGTTACAATTTAGCCAAGTCTTGAATTTCCTTTTGAATGTGAATCATATTTTTAAAGTAAGTGCAGAATTTTATTAAATGATTACATTTTCTTTTTAAGGGACTTAAAAGAATCTTTGAAAATACATTAGGACAATTCAATGTTAAATTCCGGGATCTCTGACCATGCTAAGCCTCCAGGCCCACCCCCACGCTTGGCCTAGGCTAGCTTCCTTCTGGGATTGGATAATTCTTTTCTGTGGTACATAAAACAGGAGCTTCTTGTCCAGGAAGGGTATTCAGAAGTAAATGATGGGGATCTGGGGACACAGCAACCACAGAGCATGAGAAGGAATCACTGAGTCTCCAGCATGTACATGGTGGCCATCAAGTCCACCTCCCCCACCTCCAGTTAGCTAGATAGTTCCACACTGAACTTCAGCAGCATAAGGCCACATTATTGCCCCTGCTCCCCAAGCTCAAGCAACCAAAAGTCTGGGTCAGGGTTTGGGGAGAGCAGAGCACATGTGAGCAGAGTAAGGCCTGACCTGGTAATTTCCTCCGAATCTGTGTTTCAGGGAAAGTAACAGGAAGCAAGATCTTTGTCTCAGAAACCTGTTCTCATCTCTCACCACTAGGGGGCGGGCCCTGATTGTAGACAATACTGGTCACTTTGGCCACCTTGGGCTGTCATCAACATAGCATGATTGGACCCAAACTTTGATTTCAAGTTTGATGTCACCATGTCACTATCCAGGTGAAACCAAATGAGCTGTTAGGATGGAGGGGGAAGGGGGAAGGTAGAGAGGGACCGGTTCCTGGGGGAGAGGCCTACAGGGACTTCTTGGGCAGCTAGAAAGTGAGGAAGCAGCCTGGGGAGCAGGACCTCCTGCTTACCAAACACACTGCGGTAGGCAGAGCTGTTGACCTTGATACCATTGCAGACAATCACCAGGTTGGTGGCCACCTCCGTGCCTTTGTCTGTCTGCACCCTGATGCACTCTTGATGTTCATTGGGAGACAGCTCCTCCAGGTTGCTCACCCGCTCACCTGTCAAGGGACGTCCATGACCAGGAGGCTGGCAGAGGGTGGGCACATCACTGGGGCTGGGGCCCATGCCAGGGCTGACCTGGGGAAGGCTGGAGACCTGTGGAGGCCCGAGTAAGGCCTGGACCACTGTGGCCCAACTAGGCAGTCACTCCACTCCCACCTTCCCTCCCTGCCTCTCTCCCAGTCCACCCTGCTGCCCCAAGAAGCAGGATCTGGACATGTGGATCCAATGGGAGGAAAGTTCCCAGAAGCAATTTGGGGAAGTGAGGCTGAGTTTCCCAAGAAGCTCTGGGAAAAGCTAGGTAAGGAAGGCCTCAACTGTGACTGTCAGCTACACCATCCTAACCAGGCAGGAGGTGCAAGCAAACCACCAACAAAGGTTAAAGCAAGAAAGTCAAGAAACCGGGCTACTCCCTCACTGTGTAAAGGGAAGGTGCATAGCCAGTTACAGTAAGCCTGAGGCCGCAGGGACTTTGGCTGAGCAGAGACCTCACCCCTCTCCGTAAAAACTGAGGAGGCTGGGCCTCGTGAATGGGGAGAGGGTGGTGTCACAGCCACGCGGTTAGAGCCCCAGGCGCTAACAAGCTGGTGGTTCTCTTCCCTCCTGCTCTGGACAAAAGCCACACTCCTCACCACCACCACCCTCAAAATACAAACCAAAAATACTATTCTCTCTACCACAGAGATGTCATAATCCAGGTCAAATCCTTTATACGATTTTTTTAAATCATTCAACAAATACCACTGGCACTGTTTCCAAAGCAATGGCCAGGACAGTGCTGCCTCCGTGGTATGGAAATCCCGTGAGCCCAGAGCCTCCACAATCCACAGCTGGACATCAAGGCCCAAATGGGCTTTGACACGGAGACAGCTGGGAATGAGCACAGCCACCTTCCAGCCAGGGGCAGCAACCGAGCCTTTAGGCCAGGAGAGGGACAGGGGCGGGGGCACTGGCACATACTCAGCAGCAGGTTCACGCCTTTCTGGAGCAGGATCTCCTTTGCTTCCTGCCGGACACAGGGCAGGAGCTCCTTGTCAGCCAGGGCTATTTGAGAGTGAATGAGAGTGACCTGGGGACAAATAACCACAGGGCAGAAAAGGAGCCACTGAGTCTCTGGCTCATATGAAGAGGTTTACAAACACCTCAGCCTGTGTCTCCCACCTCCTCCCCCACCTCCAGCTTACAGGTGAGGAGACTGAGGCCCCAGAGAAGTAAATCTGACCCCCATACCAGGACCAGTGAACGGCGAGCTGAGCTGGAGCCCACATCTCGTCAGCTAGGACTCTCAGAGGGTCCCCATGCTCCATAACCCCCACCTCACCTAGGGCCCTGTGGGAAATTACTTACAAGCATCCACCAACATTCATAATGACACAGTTGTATCTCCCACCTCCTCCCCCACCTCCAGCTTACAGATGAGGAGACTGAGGCCCCAGAGAAGTAAATCTGGCCCCCACACCAGCCATGACATTCTAACTGTAAAGCAGGCTGACATTCACATTAAAACTGT